TTATTAAACACATTTTGGTTACAAAGATTCATTGGGGAATCTTTGCCGTACCTTGGAATATTTGTGAGAGATTATCTTTGGAATGACGGACTGTTCTATATAATCTCTAATTCCTTCTAAAAACTATCATTTGGATACAGATCAAACAGATTTTGATCACAATATCAATTATATTAATATATATTAAAAGCTAAAAGATTCCTATCCAAAAAATATTATTAAAAGGAAAATGAAAATTTCCAATTGGTAGCTTTGAATGCATATGCTAAATGTAATTTCAAAAAAAAAAATTCAAGTAATACTGATTAAAGTCAAGACACATGACCAAGATATTGTCAATAACCAAGTTGACCAGTTAGTTAAAGCAGTAAGAAAAAAGCAAGAGATTTCCTGGAAAGAACTATTCAAAACTTTTCCAATCTTAATTTTTTTCTGAAATAGTATTCCAATTGATACTTTAATAAGATTGTTTATTAAAAATCTAAATAAAAGGAAAATACCAATTCAATAAATAATTTAAAGCAAAATCCTATCAAGATGGAAGAAAGAGATTCAAAATCCAGAAAAAATGAACTAAAAAGAATTTTGAAACCATTGTAAAGAAAAAAATACATTCAATACCTCATTCAAATAAATGAAAGATAGGATATTCAAAATCAAGCTTATCCATAATGAACTCTTTATACTGAACAATATATCCAAATGCAATATAACAAGTTACAATAAATATACAAAATATAAATTTTGCAAAATAAAGAACAAAATATTAAATTATCTTAACATATAAAAAAACCAAAATTTATAAAGAAAAAATATGAATACTGTTACAAAAAAAGCTCTTAAAAATATGGATTTCTAAATATTCTACTTTTGATTTATCAAAACAAGAAAAATTATTTAACTCTTAAATCAATAAAAAAAAAGAAATATCAAATTAACTAAAGAAATAATTAATCTGTGTATATATTTTAAACTGGAAAACAAGCTTCTAAATTGCAAAGATCTTTTATACACATATATATAAACTGTTAATCAAAACATTCAAGACATGATGCAAGTTTTTCAGGTAATACATATGGAATTCAAAATATGAAAAAGTTCAAAAATACAAGTAATTCCCAAGATACAGATCTGAAAAAGAAAAAGATAAAAAGATAAAAGAATCAATACCACCAAAATTATTAAGACTACAAGATTCATTCAAAGGCAAAGAAATTGACAAACTACAGAAGAAAAAAAAAATCATCTAGAAATTACTGCCTATTATTCTCAAGTTACAACTGTAAGGAAATTAGTTAAGCAAATCTATCAGATAGCAAAAAAGAAAAAGAAAAACTCACAGAAAAACTTAAAGAAATTTTGTAAAACAAGATTAAAGAAATAAAATATAATCAAGGTTTTAAAAGGATGAACTATAATAATGAACTACAAACTATGACTTCAAAATATACTTTGAGACAAGTATATAAGAACAAGTAATTTTTTTCATTTTTAAGATTATATTTAGAAATAACTTTATCTAAAATAGATATTCAAGTATTATATTTAAAAGTTTATATATAAAAGTTATAAAACCAATATATATTCTATATTAAGATTAAATAAACTTCATAAATACTTGTTTAATTATAAAATAAAATAAAATAAAATAAAGTTTGCTAAGCAAGGTTTAATTAGTTTAAAAAAAAAAAATCTTTAAACATAAAGTTTTAAAAAATATTTTTCTGAAAATGTCCTTAAATATTCTTGGTCAATAATAGAATAATGAAAATTAAATAGTTAACTTGCTGCAAGTAATCAAACTAAATAATAATCAAGAAGAGTTTTTGTTTTACCAATACAAACCTTTCTTTTCTCTTTTTTTCTTCTCACTTTTACTTTCTAAAAAAAAAAAATAATTTTTTATCTCTATAGAACCACTGTAGTTATGTAAAGGTGATGGTCCTGAGTAAAGGCTAGCTATAATGTTCTTGATTGGCAGGAGAAATCCAGAATAGAATTGAGCAACTTTTTCATTCCCCATAATCATACTTAAAGGCCTTAAGCTTATGATGGATGCACTGCATAGCATCAATAAGTTTAGCCTTATCATAGTATTCTTTATACAAATGTAAATGTCTTTTTACCCAAGATTAATAAACATAGGCATGCAGCCTGATTTGGAGTAAAAAAAAAATAAATTATTTTTAATAAGTTACTTTTATAAATAAAATTTATATTAACTGGATGTCAGTAAATCAAATGATGTTTAAAGGCACGTATTAATAATATATCGTGTTATATTATTTTGTAATAAATTCTAACAGTTAAATATTTTGTTATTCAAAAATCGATGATTTATAATAACAAAATGATTAAAGATACAGTTTATCGTGCAATAAATGTAATCACAAACATGCATTTCTATTTGATAAATTAGCAACAATTTTATGTTAGACAACCTTTTGATACCCCTACTCTAATCACTTGAATATCCCCTGCCCAAGTCCCGTTCACATTTTTGTTCAGTTTCAATCATACTTTTTGACATTTGGGATAAATTCAGTGAATTGTCTTCCCCGTCATTACTAGCTTTTTCTTTTGCTTTTTGCTCTAAAGCTTCAATTTCTTGATCATGCACTCTTTTAAGGTATGAGACAGCAAAGGTTTCAATAATTGAAAGAGCAAAGTAAGCTAGCATTAAATTAAAAAGTGTATTCCAAATAATCGATATATAACTTGGGCTTCCCTAAAAAAAATAACAAATTTAATCAGACTTTCGTATGTAAAATAATAACTTTTAAAGAAAAAATTTAAATTAGATTGTTAATAATAAAATGAGAAATTAAAACTTTAAATAACATACTGGTACAAGATCTGAAATATCCATCTCTCCTCCCTTTAACATTTTTGTTTGCCGTTGAACAGTGACTTGAAGTATATCATATAAATAAGGGATGTATCGATGCGTAAGATCGAGAAGCGTATCGATTGTATCTTGTGAGAACAATAATATTACAAATATGGTCTATTAAATAAAAACAAACTAATTAATATCCAAATTATATTTTAGTGTAATTACTAAATTCATGTAGAGGGATAATACCTGAATAGAAGATTTAACCACTGCTTTACCAAGAAATGTTGCACCAAAAAATGTTGAAAATGGAACCAAAAATTGACCGCAGATGACACCCGCTAAATCAAATAACGGATTTGGAATCTAACAAAAAATAATTAAGACTTATAAACTCTTATAAGTAAATTTGGTAACTAATGTACAAATAAAGTCGCTATCCTACTTACTGAAGCAAATAGGAATATTCCGAAAAACCCAAGTCTTTTCATTAACCTATGGATAAATATTAGAATCCGTTCTTTGTAGGATATACTTTCTGGAGACTGCTCCAATAAGGCATCGATATGTTTTAACTCTTCACCTCGGCTCCCCGATAGAGCAGCTAATATTATATAATAAGATGACACTAAATAATCATATAAAGATATAGCATATTTGAAATCATTCAACGACTTACCAGCCCTAGCGACAAAATATGGTGGTAGTTCGCCTAATGCTGTACCTAAACCCCAAAAGAAAGATTCCCATAGAACTTTATGAAAAATACTCATAAGTGAGATGGTAACGGTTGTTTCTACGGTAGAATTGCAACGAAATCTTAAAATGACATAAAATTAATGATTATTTCTATTAATATAAAATTTATAAATAATTAGAGAACAATGCATGCATGCCTATTTGAACCATGGGTTTCAAAGTTTAGGTTTCCACACTTATAGGCCACCCATGTTACTTCTGCAATATGAGGTCCTAGAAATAATAAAAATGTGTGCAAGCCAGTTCCGAGACCTATCGATGACGCAATTCCCAATCCAATCCAGTAGCAATACCAAAAAATTGATGCTTGAGCATGGTATATCATCTGAAATTTAAAGATGTTAGTAGGATGATAAAACTAGAGTAGAGTTATATTCTTATTATTTACCTCCTGATGGGATCCTTCGACTAACAATGCGAATTGAATTAGTATACCCAATGCTGGTATAGATGATAAAACCCATTTTCTCGATTGTACGTATTCAAAAGTTGATTTCCCTTGCTGAATTATATATGCTATAAAATAAGTCATGACGAGAACCGGAGAAGTGTATAACGAAATGGAAGATCTTTGTCTTTCTAACTCGTTACGGCGCCTCTTTATAAAATCTGTTGTAATAACCGAAAAGTAAATTAGCAATTATTGTCCAAATTTATAAACAGTCGATAAAAACAAAAACGAACCGTCAAATCCTTCTTTCTTCACATTAGTCTTTTTTAAAACCCTCGGAGAGACGAGAGATCCATCGTCAGTGGAATATCCATCACTGACTGAATCCTCGGTATAAAGCCCAGATCTTTGTTTATGTCTAAAGTTTTTTTTCATTTTATTTCTTTTCGCGACATAATTAGTGGTTGGTCCTGGTGACTCGAAGATTTGAATTTTGGGAATAATTCTATAGGACAAATCAATGTTTAAGCAATAAAAATTGGATTATTTTTTTAAAAGAAATAACTTCAACCTACGGTTCTGGAGGGAGAATAGTTTCTGAATCCATTATATCTAGGAATTATGAAAGATGGTCTATATAAATTGTTGCACACGTCTTTACGGAAACACGTAAAGTAGACTACAAAAATGTTCTGAAATGGACCTTTATAAAGTCTTTGCCTCTCCACGTGTCGAATTACCTGCGTCATGCACGAATTTGTTTACTAATTATGTAATTCTGGAAATCTATTATATAAATGAAATAAAAATTTATAGTTAGTGTTGCTATTTTAAATTTAAAAATTTTAATATATTGATATTGAAGTTTTTTGAATTAACTATGATATTTATAATACACTTTTGGAATTATAATTTTTTTTTTTTTACTTTTAATCAGTCTGCTTACTGATGCATTTATTACTTTTTGGTCAAAAAACAGTATTTTATATTTTAATTTAAAAAGTTATTGTTAATTTATATTATTACTTTAATATTTATTTTAAATTTTAAAAAAATTATTTATTTATTTATAAAAAATAAAATTAAATAAAATTTTTTACATTAATAATAAAAAAATTTTTTTTTCAGTAGATAAATATTATTATTGTTTTTTTATTGTTTTTTTTTTGTCTCTAATCAAATTGCAAATGAAAGTATTTATTAATTTAATTTGTTTGGAGAACAGTAATACAATACATATAATATTATATTAAAGCTAAATTAACACAATTTTGTAGAACACCCATCAATAAATTTAGATTTGTATATAATTCTTGAATCCTTAACACCAAGACTATCATGTTGCCTATATGATTTAGCTATTTACTAACTATTTCACTACAAGAGAGTAAGTTTATTAAGCTATTACTATATGATATTAACTATACATATGTTCATATTTAATTTAGACATATTATGTTCATATTACTAAGTAACAATTAGTAAGTAATTGAGAATTATATTTAATTCAGAATCATATTATCAATCAAATTTCCTTGTATGGTAATAAGAAAACATGTATAATATTAACTATATTAGTCTTTCTAAATCTAAACTTTCTAGATATGATTATAGAAAATAATAAAAATTACTTCTTTTCAAGACTAAGCATTAAAGACTATATCTTGGAAAATCTTAGCTAGTCTATATTTAGACTATCATCTCAATATGAACCTGTGGTTCTAAGAAGTAAAATTTTTTATTTTTTTTTTAAAAAAAAAGGGAGAATAAAAAGGATAGTTAAAAAGTTTGTTCTGATAAATAAAAACCTTTCAATATTGATTTTAGTCTATCAGAATAAATTCTTTACCATTACTTGCAACTGAACAAACTATTTAATTTTTATTATTTCATTGTTAACCAAAAATGTTTAAGATACTTATAACAAGTCTTATATCCATAAGGAATTATTGCTTGGAATAAGACTTATATCTTATGAAATTATTGCTTAATATCTTCTTGTAATAATCAACAATAGAAAAAGCTTATTACTGAATTGGAATAAGACTTCTTTTGATTTTGAAAAAAAAAGAAACCAGTTCAAGAGAGAAAAGGAAGTACCATAATTAAGGATGGGTCCCTAAACTATTTAGCATATAAATTTTGCAGATCAATTATGTCTTTTTTAAAGGGATATAATTATTTATTTATTACTTTAATAGGGACATAATTCAAAAAACACTTGGATCAAGTGGCCTAAAATGTAAAAAATCTTTGCAAGTAGTTTTTTTTTGACCTTATATTTAAAAAAAAACTTTTTTAATAGTGAGGGACATTTGAATTATATCCTCACCTTTAATTTAGGGACCCATCTTTACCCATAGATCCCACTATGCTATAGGCCCATAGGTCCCATTATGCTATAGACCCATAGGTCTGATATAAATAATATTTATTATTATATATTTAATATTAATAGTTTGTAAAAAAAAACTCTTTCCCGCAAATCTCCAAATTCCTAAAAATTTTCTTTTTTGATAATACTACAAACACCCAAAAAACACTTAAAGAAATACTCAAAGAGAATATCCAAAGAAAAACTCCATAATATCTTCTTGAAAATAAAGGAGAACAAACACAACAAGTATACTGTGGATTCAAAAAATATATTAACTCTTCTTTATTTTTCAATTTTAGAGACAGATACTTGTGATTTCTCATTGGAAAAGAAGAAAAAACAAAGAATACAATTTATAGTAAAATTAAAAGAAAAAGTCAACACTGTACTTCACAAGCTGCTAGCCAGTTGTGCATCAGGTTAGATACCTCCCTAGACACTAGCAGGACTTAGTATTAGCCAGATAATATCTAGTAAATCAAGCAATCTCACACACTAATACAAAATCAGAAGGATCCCAAGACTTTTTCATTACTGTAATTGAAAAGAAAAGTACAGATCTCAATATTTCTTGAAGATAAACAACATCCGTTATGCAATCAAATTTTTGTTGGAGACAAAAAACTAAAGACAGGTTACCCCTCCCAAAGATCAACAGTAATATGAACACGTACTTTTAAAAACCAAACAATATCAACAACTGTCAAACAAACAAACACAGCAATTCAAAATGTAACATGTGTACACGACAGATCCAAAAATTTATCAAAGTTAACTTACTCCTAAAGCAAGATCTGCAGTAGCACGAACACGCTATCACCACATACAAAGTAACAAGACACAAACAGGGCTTACCAAAATAAGCAGACCACAAATAACTTGGCAAAACACATGTTAATTTCAATCCTACATATCAAAAAGGGATAATTACACTACATAACAAGCTGTTCCAAGCAAATCAACACACAATAAACAAACAGCAAATTAAACTAGTTTACATGTGTCAACCCAGCAAAAGTCCAAAACAATGGCTGACTCCAATCCAATCCAAATAGAAAATCTAATAATAGAACATCTCAAAACGATTGAAGACAATCACAATGAAGGAAAACAAAGATGGTTTCATATATTGATCGAAGATGGCACAACAAATACAGCATCAGAACTGGCAAAATTAGGAGCAATAGTAAACATTACAATTATAGATGCAGTAGTGGTAAAACTTCTTAATATCAATTCATATACAGTCGTAAAATGGATGTTGGCTAAAAAATATATCAAACAAATCTGGGTGTTCAACCAATTAGACATAAACATACTAAACAAATATATATTAGAAGACTCACAACAAGTGTTTCAGATTGTCGATATCCTACATTTAGGTCAAGACCTATGATATGCACAAAACAAAAATCCAGAAATCACATTATCTTCTAGACAATCCAAGACAAGAAATCACAATCATAACTATTAACAAGAAATAGTTGAAAGGAGTAAAAGAAACATGTCAAAAAATTATATTAATTAAGAAGATATAATAAAGCAGGCAAACGAAGAACAACAAATATCAGAAGTTATTATGAATAAATAGATCTCTGAAAACATAACCAAAAACCAAAAAACACATGTTCCAGAGATAGTCATAAAAGAGTCATCTCTTTCAGATAAAGACTTTGACATGCTAATACTTACTTCCAATCCACTGGAAGACATAAGAGCAAAGAAAAACTATGCAACAAGAAACAAAGTCTTCTATCCAACAAATCCCTATCACATTCACAAAAAAGGGATATACAAAACAGAAACTCTAATAGCAAACACACCAGGAGAGAATCAGGAAAAACAGATTAAGTATCTTGCAAATATCTTCAAGCTTTCCATCAGCAAATACAATCTAATCCAACCATATTTCCACAATGGAAATGGATAGTATACAATCCACTTTCACTATGAAAAAGACAGATTGGCATGCATCAGCAAATTCAAAAACAAAGAGGATTATGAACTAATTGCAATACAGGACTCAAACCTCAAGTAAGACAACAAAGCTAACAAAAAAACAGAAGACATCAAACATAGCATGCTAGAAGGAAATCAAAGTCACAACAGTTCTAATTCATTTAATTTAACTAATAAACAAGGTAGAATTCAACTTCAAATTAGATACAACCCTCTCTACTAGACTAACAAAGAAGAACAACTACAAGAGATAGCCAATATGCTTCAAGTGCCTATCGAATATGAGAGAATACAAGTCCTGGCAATAGGAAAAAACAAATAGATAAGTCTTGGTTTCAACAAAACAACAGATGTTTATAAGTATAAACAACAGCTATTGAAACATATACAATCACAAGACATAATTTTGAATATCATCAAGAATGTTAGTCTAGATAAAGAAGTACTATTAGAAATTCATCAGCTTTAGAAAGTTTAGAAATTTCAGAAATTTCAGAAACTACACATTTTATTCAAAAAAGTATGATATGTTCTTAGTAAATATGGAAAAATCCAATTACTTAATATCACAAAGGGAAACAACAATTACAATAGTACTACAGTAGCATTCCAATTCACAGAAACCAATTTTAAGAAAATCTGATCAATCCCATTGAATAACCTAATGGCAAGACTAGTACCATTAGAAAACTATCAGGACATCTTTATGGAGTACAATGAAATCACAATCAGACTATATGATATTGAAAAATCAACATCTGCCTCATGAATAATAAGTGCAACAAAGCATCTAAAGGTCAAAACAGTATATATTCCACTTAACAACAAAACTGACAAAAGAAGAAACTTTATTATTATAGGTTTCGAAAACCAAAATAATCTGAACAAAGCCCTATCATCACATGTGAAACTGTTTGAAAATAAAACCTGGTAGAGTACTAAAGACAATACAAAAACATATGAAGAAACCAATAAAAAACCAAAAGTCCAAATATGAGACCCCACAATAAGAGAAGAAAACCATTCAGATCATTACAAGAATTCAAGCTCCTTTATAACTTCCAAAGGAAAAAAAACCCAAAATAATCCAAGGAACTCAAACAAAAAAGGAAAAAAGAATTAATATACTACTGAATTAACAATAAGCAAATACAACATACTTGAAGAACAAACTTCTTGGAACACAATTCACATAATATTAGAATCTATCAGTGCCAGATTGATGAGGCTATAAGACAAAAGAAACAAAAATAGTGGAAAACTCCACTACT